TTTCTTAAGGTTTTTTATTTTCCTGATCCTATTTTAATCTCAAGCATAAATTCTTCCTTCAGTTCTTCTCGCTACATTGTCTCTGAAATATCTCCTGTTAGCTTCATGTTCTACTACTGTCTGCACTTCCAGGATTGTATACTCACACCACTTCAGACATCCTTTCAAGATGTTTGCTTGGTATCTCCGGCTTCTCTTTCTCTATTTACTATTTTTATTTGCTCTTTCAAACTTTTCCATTTATATTTTTCACCATACTTTCTCCCCCTTGAAAGAAGGATTGCTTGAAATACACCTTCTTCTTCTACATAATTTTTTTTCCTTTTTTGTTAATTTTAGTTGTTTACTCATTTCTAACCTGCCTTGCTCCATAAAGAATTGGCAGTGACTATCTAAACATGTTCTTTAACATGAGCCCTGTTGGTTGGAATTGGAAATCTGATATTCTTAGATTTTCTTTTTCAAAAAAGTTTCACCTTTCAGTACTCAAGGAATTTAACTTTCCTTCTCATTTCTTTTCTTGTTTCCTTGAAGAAACAAGAAAAAAAAATCACGACTTTAAGACAAGTTCATATTTTGTAGAAACAAATTGGATACTGCTATCCCTTCAAAAAGTAACCTCTAAAAGCACCTCATCATTGGGCTTTAATCTGTAGGACATAGAGAGCCCCTGTCGTAAAGAAATTATGATCATGAAATTATGTGGAAGGCACCTCAGAATTCCATATACTTATTTTTACAGACGCAGAAACTGAGGCTCACAGTGTTTTAGAAATGTGTTTATAGTCTCAGAAATACTCAGAGACACGTTTCGAATTCATTTAGAAGACAAGTCACCTGGAACATTTAAAAAATCATTAAAGAAGGTAGTAGATAGCATGAAATGATGAATAACTGGGTTCCGGGCAGTGGTGAGCTGGTAGATGTTCACTCATAGGTGGGAACTGAACAATGAGATCACTTGGACTCAGGAAGGGGAACATCACACACCGGGGCCTATCATGGGGAGGGGGGAGAGGGGAGGGATTGCATTGGGAGTTATACCTGATGTAAATGACGAGTTGATGGGTGCAGCACAGCAACATGGCACAAGTATACATATGTAACAAACCTGCACGTTATGCACATGTACCCTACAACTTAAAGTATAATAATAATAAATAAATTATAGGGGCTGGGGCTGGACAGAGGGAGCCTGATTGATAGTGTTTGCCACCTTCATGGTGCCCATGCCAGTTTCAAGCTACCAGCCTGACACCCTTGAACCAGGAGTTGGGAAGAGATGAGCACAATCCAGTCAGCTCTCGAGAGTGGCAGAGATCATCCGGCTACAGTGAGTAGGCCCTTAAGGAGGAGAACTGTGCTAGACCATTGCTCCCCATGCCTCAGACCTTACAGTTGTGAAGAATAATCCATTTTCATTTAGCCTCTGCACCACTCTGCTCCTTCACTCTTGCTCTTGCTTTGGCAGATAAATAATCTTACCTCCTCAGCTATCATTTACATTTCAAGCCCCAGCTCAAAATGAGGATCTGTGAGATTTCTTCTGATTCTTTTGGAAATCGTCACTTCTACTCTGAATGCCAGAGTACTTTATTTATATATTTTATTAGAGTAATTACCAAAGCCTAACTTGTCCATGGATAGTGGATATTAATTTTCAAAGCCTATTATTGTTGATGGATAGTGTCTTTTCCCTCTAGACTGTCCTTGGAGGAAAAGGAACATGTCTTACTCCTTCCTTGTCAGAGAAGCAGTACAGTGTGGTGGGTAGGAGTCCAAGCTCTGGAGTCAGACTGCTCAGCTTCAAGTCCCTTACCATGGGACCTTGGGCAAGTCATCAAACCCCTCTGTAGCCATCTGTAAAATGAAACATTAAATGTGAGTCCCAATATCACAGGCTCACTGTGATATAGTGAGATTACTAGATATGGTCAGTGCCTAGCACATCTATGCCCTCAATAAATGCAACCTGGTATTGTTACCTCTAGCACACAGCCCAGTGCCTGGCACAGAATCAGTGTGCAGTTGGTGGTGGTTGAAATGAATGGACTTGAAGTAAGGATATGACCCAGCTAACTCGGTAGGAAGTTGGGAAAGGGTGTGATAAAGGGAACTGCATGAACAAACTATTGTTGGAGAAATGAGAATGATATATTTAATAAAAATCAGTAGGTTATAGAATTATAGGATCAGAACCCAGGTTTCCAGCTGTGGTATGATGAACACAGAGAAGGGTAGGATCATTCGTATCTTCCCTTCACCCCATATGCTAGATGATGTATGTCTATAAATATACCATTGTTATTGCAATAGCTTTTGTAGACTGCTGATTGAAATATCTCATTTTCGATGCTGTGCAATTGCTTTTTAAAACATCAAAATGCTAGATTTTGAGTACAAATACTGTTACATTTCAATTTGATTCAGTCCATCATTCCAACTAATTCATATCTCCTCGAAACTTGATTCTGCAATGCAGTTTATCTTTCCTCCTATCTAGTTTTCTGCTGTCTGCAATTTTGTAAGCATGACTTCTATTTTGTTTTCCAAAATACTATCCAGGCCGCTTCTAAGAACAGAGTCCCCTGACATGACACTAGTGACTTTTTCTATGTTGGCAGTCATTCATTAAACAATCTATTGTTTTCCTTTTTGGGTACAGATTTTAAACTGCTTTCAAATCTATCAAAGTGTGCAATATCCATATTGTTCACAATAGTATCTGAGAAACTCTGCCAAAATGTTATGTATGTAGCATTTTTTCCACAGATATAGTAAGTCTATTAGAAAAGAAAATGCAGCTAGTTTGTTGCAAAGTGTTCCTGATTAATCCATGTTAGCTCTTAATACCAACAACTTCCTTTTCCAAGTTGAACTAAGGATTCATGATGTAAAATAGTGAAGTTAACTGTATCAAGGTAGGCTAGACTCAACCTGCAGACTTTGACTATCTAGGTGAGAAATTTGGGCACAATTCTGAGGACAGTGAGAGATTGTTGAAATTTTTGATTCAGGATTACATGACAAAATTGTGTTTTCTGGCAGCAGTGTCCACAATGGACTCTGGGGGGACCTTTAGTGAGATTTGAAATTTCCTGCAATAATCTCAGAATGGGCCGCTGGGCTATATTAGGCTAGGCTAGTAGCAATAAAGATAGAAGAGAATAAATTTGGATTTAAGAGAAAAAAAGTCAAAAGGGACTATTGAGGGAAAATGATAGGAAATAAATAAATAAATAAATAAATAAATAAATAAATAAATAGGTACTTCAGGGCTTCTCAACCTTTTACACATTATTGAAGGTGCAGAATATAAAACCAATTTGGCCACTGGGGTAAATAGGCCTGTTTGGGGATGGGGTACCAATGTCTGGGGCCCCCAGGACTAAGTCTCTCCTCTCCCAATTCCTACCTGCCCCAACTGGCAGAGGACATTAGTATCTCCACTGGCTGCAGAGCCATTTGGAAATTTCTGTTTTAGAAATAAGTAGTCTTAGTAATATGAGAAAAAATGTCTTGTACTAAAATCAGGATCAACAGTTCAGAGAAGTCTATATACATGAAGGAAAGCAAATGTTTGGTTCGGTGCATGATTCTGAACAAAGAAGCAAAACATCATTTATACCCTTGAAAGAAAACCAACCAGCATCAGTCAAACAGGGACTGTGTAGGTACCAAATAAGATTGCCCAAGCCACCAAGCCACTGCTTGCATTATAATGATGCAGTAACACAAGGGCAGGGGCTGTGCAGGCTACTGGACAAAGAAACCAAGAAGGAAGGAGTCTGGGTTTTGCATTAATTTGGAAATCCAAGCCGATTTGCTTGAAAATTTACAAAGTGCTACCAACTTGTTGCTTCTTATTGATTTCTGTAGTTAATAAATTAAGTAGTGCTGTAGTTCCTGGTGCCTCACCTGTTCTACTACTTTATATTGCTGCATGGAGGAAATCATAGATTGAGAAAATGTAGGTGCTTGCAATCCATAATTCCTTATGATAATTGAAGATGCTCAGTTATAGAAAATAAGCAAGTATTCCCTCTTTCTCCATTAAACTCAATGAGACAGAGAGATCAAGAGCCCCCCGACAAAGCCATGTCGATTCCCTTATAAATAGGAATGAGTAGCTCTTCTGAAAAATAATGGAACCCATACATTTCTCAGGATGGTTGCCAGCAGGCCGCCATGTTCATGATTCAGGGGCACTGGCCTTTCACATTGGAGTCCATGTGGATGGTGCTCCCTGGTGTTGGGGCACTCAGCCTGTGTGGCCATAGGTGGTGGCTCACAGAGAGACATATCTGATTCATCCCAGGGCTTCCACCCAGCCCAGGAGGTGCACGTCTGCATTGACCCACATTCATCCCCAGCCTAACTGTGCTCCCTTCCCAAACAGTGTTAGTATTCTTTAATCCCAATTTGTAATTTTATTCCAATTCAGATCCACCTAGCTCTCCCCACTGGATCTCTTCTACAGTCAAAGCACATCCTTTTGGCTCATTTGCTCCCATTGTTCTGTTGACCTTTCCACAGCTATCCGCTGCTCTCACCATCATGCTCCTTGTTACAGTTAAGTAGAAAAAACTGGCAGCCACACATAATGCAGGCAACTCCAGCATCCTCACAGCACTTACTACACAGTGCTGCAAGGTATTTGTTTACATATCTGACTCCACTCACTATGAGCTTCATGAAGGACAGAATGATGCTTCTTTGAGCCATGGGTCTTGGCAGGGTGCCAGCACATAGTAGGTTCTCATTTAATGTTTGGTAAGTGAGTGATAATTGAATGTATTGCCTTTCTTACATTTGGACACAGTAGTCTCATTTGGGGCATATGACTAGAGAGAAGAAAAAGTATTCCTCTCTCTAGTTTGTACAATGTTGACACTTGTTGGTTTTTGTTCAACTGCTTCCTGGAATTATTCAGACAATATAGGGACAGGCTGTTATGTTGTGGCCAGAGGTTTCTGATTCTCGTGTTCATCCTTGTGCAGGTGGGGAAGTGGAAAGACAAGTCCCTGCAGATGAAGTACTATGTGTGGCCCCGAATGTGTCCAGAGACTGAAGAGCAGGAAGATGACCATCTGAGCATTGTGACCCTGGAGGAGGCACCATTTGTCATTGTGGAAAGTGTGGACCCTCTGAGTGGAACCTGCATGAGGAACACAGTCCCCTGCCAAAAACGCATAATCACTGAGTATGGCATCCTCTCAATGACTTTGGGTGGCATGGAAGAGTCAGCTTTGATGCACCTGTTAGCACTTGGCTGGCCTGAGACCTGAGGCATGAGAACTGGGCACTGTGTCTGATTTCTAGTTGTTTTTAATCTGTGGGATTACTGGCAGCCCTCTGATCTAATGTCCCATTCTGTCCAGATGGTGACCTGGGAAAATGATGGCTAACTTCCTATGCTAAACTTTCTCTGGTCTTGCTTGGCCTCAATGATCAGGGCCTCAAGTTTATGGAGATTTAAGTTTACTTCTGGTTTTCAAATATGTTTTCTTGGGCCAACATGTCCCAAAATCTTGAGAGTTAGAACTATTTTTTGAAAAATATAAAACTAATCTATGCTTTTAAAAGTCAGGATAATGGTTCTCCTTGGTGTGAAGTGCCTAGAGTGGGAAACAAGAGGCCTCTTGGGTGCTGGTAACTTTTCTGGATCTGGATCTGGGTGCTGATTAAAAAGAGGAGTTCAGTCTGTGAAAATTCATTGAACTGAGGCCTTCAAATATGCACCCTTTTCTTATGTATTTTGTACTTCAAAGGAGAATTAAAATTAAGAGGAAACATATCTCCATGTGATGAGATAATGAGAATAGTGCAGGTCTGCTGTCTGTCTTATTTCTTCACTCGAGTCTAGTATAAATTGTGCTGAGCTGTGAAGGGGGTCTGCTTCGGGATTGGAGGTTTTTTAATGGCAAAAGATAATAAATGTTGCCTTTTTGTACAAAGCCTTTTTGTTCATTTGTTTTTGTTTCTTTAACTGGCTAGGAATAAAACAGATGAGGAGCCGGGTTACATCAAAAAATGCTGCAAGGGGTTCTGTATCGACATCCTTAAGAAAATTTCTAAATCTGTGAAGTTCACCTATGACCTTTACCTGGTTACCAATGGCAAGCATGGGAAGAAAATCAATGGAACCTGGAATGGTATGATTGGAGAGGTGAGTGTCCACAAGGGCTGTTTCCATTTTCATTTATTTTCCTTCTTTTAAATATATGTTTTAAACATGCTCACTTTATGCATTTCAGAAAATACAAAATGGCAAATAAGATGTATTGTTCCCACTATATAAAGAAAACCACAGCTAGGCTGTATTTTCCTCATGGTGGTCCCTTGCCCTCTGAATGTTTCAATTGGAGGATTGTGCCTTTCTCTTAGGTGGTCATGAAGAGGGCCTACATGGCGGTGGGCTCACTCACCATCAATGAGGAACGATCGGAGGTGGTCGACTTCTCTGTGCCCTTCATAGAGACAGGCATCAGTGTCATGGTGTCACGCAGCAATGGGACTGTCTCACCTTCTGCCTTCTTAGGTAAATGATGGGTTTGCTGGTGGAAGGAAATGGACATATGGATGGGGAAGTGAAATAGGGAACAAAGAAGGAGCACATGGCCAGGCTCTTCCAGCTAGGAGGTGGTTTGCTAGGAGCTCAACTCAGTCAGGGACTTCACTTAGGGGACTTCAAAATTAATTACTCTCAAACATGAAAACTGATGAACACCCAGAAAAATAGGAAAGCATAATGCCGTCTAAGAAAGCAATACTGGACTGGTCCTCAGAGGGCCTACTGTAGTCCCATTCCTGCCATTTAGTCAGCATGTGACCTTGAGCAAATTTGCTCTATCTGGGGACTCAGTTTCCTCATCCACAGGAGAAGTCATTTCAACCACGCTGATCTCTGAGGCTGCTTCCTGCCATAATAATTTCTAGTTCTGGATATCATTGAAATATCTATTTATTTTTAATTATCTGCAAGAATTGTGCTCAGTGCTACCAAAAAAGGTTCTTTGTTTCCACGAAAATTTTCTGAGACTTTGCCAGATAGAGCTGATCTGATTCTTCCTCCCACCCCAGCGCACCCCTCCCCATACCATTCTCTCCAGCATCACTTAAATGTCAAAAATCTCAGATGTGATATAAGACTGGGTGAGATGAGGCCAAGATTTCAGTTAGATGAGGTCTTTTGTGAGCTCATACCCCATACTTTTTTCAGGGGCCATGGAATGAGGGGTTGGAAAACAAAACGTCACCTTGAAAACAGAACACTGGGCTAGCAGAAAGGAGACTGGGTTTGGCCTAAACAAGCCGTAAGCCCCTGGACGAGTCACCATCTCTCTAAGGGACATCAACATTTTTTAAATGGGGCTATTACAGTAGATAGTGACTAACATTTCTTTAAGCTGTAACCATAGGGAATTAATTCAATTAATGCACTGCAAAGTGGAGTTATAGGCTCCGTAGAATTTTTCTATAAATTACTCAAATTTCTTAGCTAATCTTCTTACTCACAGTGAAGCAAATTCCAGCCTTGCCAATTTTATGTGAAATGTGATTAGATAGTACACACTGTATGCAGTAATTCTCATAGCTGCTGTACGTATTTTATTTGCTTTTTTTCCTGTGCAAGGATAATTGGAACATTAAGAGATATAAACAAAACCACATTCTAATTCTAACCTTGTCAGTACAGCACTACCTTAACTTTTGAACTGGCAGAGCCAGTGGTACATTAATATATCACTGGAATGGCATAGAAATGTCAGGCAGGGTGTGTTTATGTCTGTGTTCAGAGGAGGAGCAGTTAGTGATAGGGATAAGAGAAGCCAACATTTATTGAGCACCTACTATATAATGTGCCAGGCATCATTGTACACCCTTTGATAATATTAACTCATAAAATGTTATTATACCTATTTTATAGCTTAGGAAACGGAATCTTAGACATATTAAGCCATTTTCCAGCAGTCTCTTAGCTGATAACTGGCAGCTCTAGGATTAAAATCTAGCTATGGTAGCCTTCAGAACCTGTGTTCTAGTACAAATAAGGCCTTTTCAGGGTTCAGCCCCTAACCCAGGAACCAGCATGGGGGACAAAGAACAATGTAATAAAATGAAAAAACACAGACTTTTTGGCTCAGTTTGTAACTTGACCCTGCCACTTTCTGAGTATGAACTGGAAAGAACCTTGACCTCTCAGTCCTAGTTTACTCCTCCATAAAATAAATAAGGTAATCCCTAATGAAAGGGCCATTAGAAGGATTATATATACAGTATGTGGTAAAGTACTTTCTAAATTGTAAAGGCCGAAACAGACGATGTATTTTGTGTATAGAAAGTTTCCCTGGGCCTAATGGGAGGAAAAGACCATAGAGGTGATGCTTTTACTCAGTTATTCCCCAATCTTAGACAAAAGAGAAATCAGGGTAGAATTGCAATCAATTAGAGTCAAGTGTGCAGAGGTTTTCTCTGCACCTCTGGAGAGAGCCTTTGAATTGTACCTATTACGCTCACATCTCTAGCTGCCATTAAAAGGTTTTGCATTTCACAGTTGGTGTGTTAAGCACTGGGGCTTTATCAAGATCTTTTTAAAATTGATTAAGTGACCAAGCTTTTACAATTCCTTTGGGAGTTCGATAATAAAGTAGGTTTCAGAGTAAGAAATATATTTTCTAATTTTCAGCCAATTTTTCCCCTTTTTAAACTTCATCTTTATTAATGATTTGGAAGATGGAGAAAACAGCATGTTAATTCACTTAGTTATGAGTTTACAATGTGCTGTGACAGCTAAAAAGGCCAGAACTATTTTGAGACACAATTGAGGGAGCATTGTATCATGGGACAGAATAGTGATTGTCCCTTTTTATAGGCCTTCACAGAGATGGCTTCTGGAATATAGTATCTAGTTTCGGGACACCTCCAAGCCAGAGAGATATTTAGCTCAACTGGAAAGCATTCAGCACACATGATTAAAGATATTAAAGAAAGCATGTATGGAACATTCTTGCTACCTTGCCCAGTCTTGTCCCATCAACCCTATCACTTGGTGACGGGGGATAGATTGTAGTTGGTTTGTGAATTACAGCTTAGGCATGTTCCCTTGTCACTTGTTAAATTCCCACCATTGCAGATAATAATATTTAGCATGGAAGGATTCCTTTTTTTTTTTTTTTTTTTTGAGACGGAGTTTCGCTCTGTCGCCCAGGCTGGAGTGCGGTGACGCAATCTCCACTCACTGCAAGCTCCGCCTCTTGGGTTCATGCCATTCTCCTGCCTCAGCCTCCCGTGTGGCTGGGACTACAGGCACCCGCCACCACGCCCGGCTAATTTTTGTATTTTTAGTAGAGACAGGGTTTCACCGTGTTAGTCAGGATGGTCTCGATCTCCTGACCTCGTGATCCGCCCATCTTGGCCTCCCAAAGTGCTGGGATTACAGGCGTGAGTCACCGCGCCCGGCCGGAAGGATTCTTTAACATTGACTTATATTCTCATACCCTAATGATGTCTGATAACATACGATACATAAAAGTAGGTTGAAAAAGTGAATCTAGGCTAGGAAGTTTAAGAGAAGTGATACAAGGAGGAAAGGGGAGCTGGTTATGTATTGTACATAATTATTCCTGAACAAATTCAACTCTAAAATAGTAGGTAGGTCTGTTGAGAATGACTGTATCTGCAAGGCTCAGAAGCATTGGGGAAGGCATTTCCAGGCCTCTATTACATGGTGCGGCCATATAGATGAGAACACAAATTGAGTCAGTCCAATACTCACCTCATAGCTAGTACTTCTTCCAATTGCACCATTTACTGAAATACCCAGATATTGGTCCAATATTGGCAGAAACTGCCTCTACAACCTAAAAGGCTCACAGGCATGAAGCTGTCCTTCTTATGTATTTGAAGGAAGATAGTCCTTGCCCTTTAAGGAAATGGTTCAGGTACAATCTAACGTAGGCCCTGGCTTCCTGAAGGCAGACAACACACTGTGGTTTGTTCCCCACCCCCTAAAATATGAAATGAATATGTGAATTAATTCGAAGTCTTTTGCTCTCTGTTTTAACCCTGAGCACTGCTTTTTTCCCTTCCCCAGAGCCATTCAGTGCTGACGTATGGGTGATGATGTTTGTGATGCTGCTCATCGTCTCAGCCGTGGCTGTCTTTGTCTTTGAGTACTTCAGCCCTGTGGGTTATAACAGGTGCCTCGCTGATGGCAGAGGTAAGGCCGGCTGGAACTGCTGCATTTCCCCAATTTTTTTCTCCTATTTTCAAATCTCTGGACTCCTCATTTGTTATCTGCATTTTCCCTAGCATATCCATTTCTGAAAAGGAACCCTGAGGTGAACATTTCTAGGTCACCATCTTGGTGTCTCTTTAGAAATACCCCAGTTAAGATGTTAGTTTGAATCTGTAGGTCTGCTTTATGCCTGGCCCCAAGCCTAGTTGCACTCCCAAGTTAAGGAGAGGAAAAACTGTTGGTAGATATGGGTATAGCATAAACATGTCATAGGAAACTATTTTGATAACCTTAGGCTGTGGGCAGTCTGTTGGAACAGATGTCGCTAGCAAGGCAGATTGTACACACATGTTAAGAACAAGAAGAAATGGAATGCCCCAGGGTATTTGCAGGTGGTTGTGGCTAGTAGAGTTCCCCAGTGCCAAAGGATCACAACTGAAGTACCAGATCTCCAAAGCATATGCTCCTGGCTTAACCCCCTTGCCAGAGAGTATAAAAGTTGGGTGTTGGAAATAAAATAAATGAGAAAGACCAATTCTCACTCATAGCTGTTATTGGGTATGGTCCAATTTCCTGGGTAGGTGGACCCAGAGATGTGAGGGCTGCCCATGTGTTTGAGGCATTTATGACAGTTTTTAAAAGTTCACATGATTTCTAAAGAGGGGCATGGGATCCTTGTAAATAACTCCTCTAAAACTTCCTGAGAACCCCAGGATTAAGAAATATTCTGCCTTCTCTGAGCCTTCTCCATTTCAGAATGTGAGCTCTATCCTAGAATTATACCTCCAAAAGGAAAGATTCTTAATCCTGGCTACACATAAGAATGATCTATGGGAGTATCTAAAAGACACGGGTGCTTGGACCTCATTTTCTGATTCACCAAGTCTAGGGTGGAGCTTAGACCACTGTATGTTTCAATATAGTGTTTCTCTATCTTGGTTGCATGTTAAAATAACCAGCCCCACCCTACACCAATTTAATAAGAATCTCTGAGGATAGGGTTTCAGGCAGCAGTATTTTATAAAATCTTCCTCATGCTTCTGTTGGATCCACAGTACAAGCTGTGAAACACCAATTTACTGAAGTATTTCCAAGTGTAGACCTACCTTTTAATTTGGTTTGTGTATTCTGAGATGGGAGTTGGAGCGTCTCCACTGCATGGTACAGTCAGGGGCCTTCCACCTGTGCTTCATCCAGAAGCCACGACCTAGATCCCAGCCTGTGTGGCACCAGTAAGAAGTGGAACATCTGGGAATCACATGAGTATATACTTAGGTCGGCAATGTCAAGAACTAAAGTCAGTGTGCATTGCCTCTCTCCCCTGAAAAAATAACAGGAGCCAAAAATCCAGACTTGCAAAGAAAGCTCAGAGTGAGGGCTTACAATTACTCATTTTACCGAAGGCTGTTTGTCTTCACAGAGGAATTCAACATGGGACCACTTTAAATATCAAGTCTCCTTAGAGCATTTTACAATTTACAAAACTTTAATTTATAAACAACTTTTTAGTTACACATCTGTTGCATGAAATAAGGTCCACACGCACAGATATGTGTGCACAGTTAGATATCAGGTTCAACGTGAGTTGTCCCTGATGATTTATTTGGCTGAGCAGATGCTATCAGGATCACAGATTACATCATAAGACCTGTGCAAATATGTTGTAAAACTGTGCAGGCAGATGTTCATTTCTGCAGTGGAGGGGCTACATGGAGATTCAGACAACAGGCAAGATTTTACCATCAGCATAGAGACTGCAGTGAGGTCACAATACATATATGGGCAGAAGCCCAAGCACTGTGTGTGCAAAGGTTGGGGGAGGGGGGGAAATCAAAGTCAAAAGCAGCTTCCTTTCTGCCCTTAGATGCATGTAGCCAGGCCAGAATTCTATGACTTCCCCCTTGGCCTTCCTGATATTCTTTTACACACAAGCTTCTACGGCAGGAAACCAGCTGGGAAGTGTTGGCATTGGAGTGGGGTCAGGTTTGGCTTTGAAATATTGAGTGCTAAGTGCTAGAAGCTAAAGAAAAATCAGGAAAAAGTGCATTCCAAGCCATCTAGCATCAGTGTAAACAGACTTGAAGAGGGTTTGTGAATGGTAGAAAACAATCTTACACAATTCTTGGTGATGTTTTTGGAAGTTAAAATGCATTATTGGTAGATACAAATATAAAATTTAGGAAAAACTGACAGTAATGATTCAAGTGCGACCATAGTGACATAGGCAACCTGTGTTATTCAGTTTTGATGTGACCTTGATAGGGTCTTGTATATGGGGCAGGTTGATGGCTCCTCCAGAGGGGAGTCATGACTGTTAATTCAAAAAAGACCATCCCACACACACCCCAGGCTTTTGGTTTTTCTTCTAAGGAACCCTCTGCAGCCCTCCTGAGAGTCCCTGGAAAAGAGAGATACACACTCTCAAATTTAAAAGCCATCTATAAAAGCCATCTATAAAAGAGTGGAAGAGTTTCCTGCTCTGAGCAGGGACTCACCCTGTGTATTTGTAGGTTTAAATAGAACCAGTCACAATGGCTTAACTTTCGTCCTTGTCTTTCTGTCGTGCCAGAGCCTGGTGGCCCCTCTTTCACCATCGGCAAAGCTATTTGGTTGCTCTGGGGTCTGGTGTTTAACAACTCCGTACCTGTGCAGAACCCAAAGGGGACCACCTCCAAGATCATGGTGTCAGTGTGGGCCTTCTTTGCTGTCATCTTCCTGGCCAGCTACACTGCCAACTTAGCTGCCTTCATGATCCAAGAGGAATATGTGGACCAGGTTTCTGGCCTGAGCGACAAAAAGGTAAGAGACTCATTTGAAATCTCCCATCTTTCCTTCAATCCTGTTCTCAGCCATACTCAAAGTTCTCATGTACCTGCTTGTCTTCTAAATTTTTGGAATTGACTGTTCTTTCTTATGTTTCCTTGTATTGGAACATGGGAGTAGAAGTCAGTTTCCCTGCTGAAATAACATGACTTCATGTTGGCCTCCTGATTCGTGAAAAGTTATCACTAGTACACCCTAGGCTGCAAAAAAGGGGGTTGGTATGTTAGCAGCTTTCTGAGTGCATGGTACCTCCTGTTGGATGTGGTTGGGTGGCCTATCTGCACAGGGGCTGCCAGTGTGGGGTGTTATTAGACAGCCGCCGCTGTGTACCCACACTGAGGAGATGGGCGCATGATGGCCTCCTTTTCTTCCCAGTGGTGTTTGGCTGTGGGCTCTCCCTTTGTTCCATGGCACACTCATGTGTTCCTGGGGCTGAGCAGGAGGGTTGTTCACATTGTGTCTTAAAGAGAAGTAACTGCTGTTTAACTGGATGATTTGGATGATTGCCCCTGAGTGGTGTTGATGAATGGGCTGCCTCCTCCTGTGGGCCTATGCAGTTGAGAGAGAAGGGAAAGTGTCTGCTGTTTTCCATCACTGCTGGATGAGGATGTACAAAATCCATTCTAAATACATCTGACCCTCCAGTCTGCCTGAAGCATCACATTTTCCAAGGGAGATCTGTCTCCTGAAACTATGTAACCAGAACTAGGGATGGGAGCCACTTTCGTGGAGTGTCCCATAAAGCTTATGGCCAAAATAATTTTGGAGACTTGTGCTTACAACAAATTTTCTACTCTATTTCCTTAAGATTTAGAAAATGTGACATTTTTCCACTCCCACCCCCACCCCCCCAGGATGAAGCCATGAGATACAGACAGGTGTGTCTTCAGACCAAATAGTACTTTGCACATGGGTTAGATTTGCCCAACCTAAAACCCTACACACTTAAGCAAATGGTCTGAGAAGAATGAAAAGGAGGACATATTCTCTTCAGGGGCTCAGATTCTGATTTTTCCTTCTACATCTCTACTTATCAAGAACATTTAAAAGCATGTGGAGAAGATAAACAGTATCTTGAGAAAATGAATATATATATATATATATATATATATTTTTTTTTTCTGAGTGCATGGTACCTCCTGTTGGATGTGATTGGGTGGCCTATCTGCACAGGGCTGCCAGTGTGGGTTAGTAGAGGGCTGCCGCTGTGTACCCACACTGAGGAGATGGGCGCATGATGGCCCAAGGAATATATATATATTCCACTGTGTTTACCCCCTTTGTGTTATCTCTTTCTCTGATTTGTCTTCCTTTTTGCTTTTTATTCCTTATTTAAAAAAAAAAAAATTCTCTCTCTTGGACTTTTTTATTTGGAAGCTTTTATTTACTTCTCTCATCTCAAGATTTATGATACATTTATTTATATATTCATCCATTTATTAATCCGTTTTTAAACCTCTCTCTCACTGTTTCTTCATCAACATCTTTCATCATGACCCTAACTAAAATTTGAGTTAGATACCTCCTTTCACCCCCCTTTGCAGCCACTACCATAATTACCTTTTGGTGACTATTTCTGGAACCTGGACAGTAGTTGGGCTGACAACAACCACGGGGCTCATTACTTGGATGTGGCTTAGGGTAAGGTGGACCACGCCCACCTCCTATTGTTTGGATGTCTGATCCCTTTAAATCTCATGTCGAAACTTGATCCCCAGTGTTGAAGGTGGGGCCTAATGGGCAGTGTTTGGGTTATGGGGTGGATCTCCCATGAACAGATTAGTGCCTTCCTTGGGAGGGGCGGGACTGAGTGAGTTCCTGCTTTGTTAGTTTCCATGAGAATTGCCCCAAAAGCTGATTGTTAAAAAGAGCCTGGCACCTCCCCTCTCGCTTGCTTCCTCTCTTGCCATATGATCTCTTCACATGCTGGCTCCCCTGCCCCTTCCACCATGAGTGGAAGCAGCCTGATGATGTCACCAGATGCCCAAACTTGAACTTTTCCAGATATCAGAATTGTAAGCCAACTGAACCTTTTTTTTCTTTATAAATTACCTAGTCTCAGGTATTCCTCTATAGCAACACAAAATGTCCTAAGGCACCACCCTAAAACATGGATGTTGCAGAAACTTGATGGGCCATATCCCATGTGTAGACTTGTCAGAAGTATGGCAGACCATGTCTTCACACGCGGCTGTGGCAGAGATGTAGTAGACTGTGTACCCACATAGAGTATAGCAGGGCCATGTCACCATGATTGACATGGCAGGGCAGGGGTGTAGTGTATCATGTCCTGTGCATGGTTATAGCACTGTATGGTGAGATCATGTCACTATGCATCAATATGGCAGAGATGAGGTAGGTCACAGATCTTCCTAAGGGTCTGGGCTGTTAAGTGGAGGATCTCCATAGGTATCAAAATGTTTCCTTCCAATGTCTCAAAAATTACTTGGTATACTACACTTATCTTTCTCTTACCCTCATGGGCCATGCAGTAATAACTGAATGCCTTTCTGTTTGAACTGAGCATAACTGAGACATGGAGGAAGAGAGTTTTCTTTTCCACGATCTTGAAATAAGTATCATATCTAGGCTTCTTAAAGCAGATAGGATATGCACGTCTGCCCTCCATACCATGATGATTATGTTCTAAAAAGTTGGAGCCCATCAGTATGTTTTATAGAATGAAGGCAGTTTGTGTGTGTGTGTGTGTGAGAGAGAGAGAAAGAGAGAGAGAGAGAGAGAGACTTTCAAGACCTTTGAAATAATTTCCACTGTGACACCAGCTCTGCAGCCTCACTGGCCAATTCTTGGGTTCCTGCATCTGATATCCTGGGTATCCACAATTCTTCATCTTTTTCAACTATACCTCTATCTGTGCATCTGCCTAGGAGGCTTTTTTCCCCACTTTTTCATTCATCGAACTTCTACTGAAGCTTCAAAACCTAGATTAGAGATCCCTTTATTTGTGGAGCTTTCCCTAGCTCATCTGGGAAATTAGTCATTCCATGCCCTATTACGGCAACTATTCAAATCTTTATTATAACACGTATCTTCCACATTCTGTTGCAATAATCTATAGGCCTATACCTGACCACCTATTCCTCTATCTGACCGTGAATTCCACAAAGTCAATGACCGTAACTTGGTCATCATTAAGACAAAAAAAAAAAAAAAAAAAGACTGTGGGGAGAGAGGAAGAGAGGCTGTATTTACTTAAGAACCCCTGGTGAAAACAGTGGACCCAGCATCACAGGCAAAGAAAGCAATGAGTCAGCAAGTGCCCCTTAACAGCTGTTTAATTTGTAAATGGTTATCTGATACATTTCAGAACTTTGCAGATGACAAAACAGTAAAGTGGAAGCACCCTACCAGAATCTGTCAACATGACTTACATAATTATAGAAAATACTTAAGTAACTAATGACTGCATATCAGTGTCAGAGACAGTTACATAAATCAGAAAGAGTTTCCTGAAAGTATACTTAAAACGTTAAAATTCTTATAGTCTTACTTCAAAACACCTAAAGAAAACAAATTCATAGGACAGGGTATGGTAATGTGTGAGGGGAAGTATATTCTGTGAATTTAGGAAAAGAATAAAGACATTCAAACAATAATGTTGAGAAAAGAAATGAGGTGATTTTGAAGATTATTTTCCAATGTGATTAGATTTTCATCAAGGAAGTAACATTTAAAATGGAGAAGGGTTCCTAAACTTGTTTTGACTATTACAGGTGATATATCTTCCATATAACTCAGATCAAATGATAAATATCTTGGAGTGATAATGGAAAGATATTTGTAGCCATTCAATTTATAGCTTTTTAAAAAATTATCTTCAGCTTTTTTTGCAGAAAAAAAAAATGTACTCAGATTTCATTTATGTTAAGGTAGAAAACCAGAGTTAAATTTCCATGAAAACCTATTTTTGTGCTCCTTTATACTGGAAGGCTTCCATTTTGCGGTAGCACATTACAGTGAATTCAGAATTGTTCCACTACATGCTGTACCTAAATATGGGTGCAAGTTCTAACGTTCAGCAGCCCGACTGTACATTCCATCAGCTCCCCCAGTGGGAGGAGGGTGTAAGGGAGCTAGTGACATCTTTCTTCTCTTAACAAAGAGCCCACAATACATTCTCATATTTCTCACCCATCCAGATGGATTTCTCATTTTGCAGTCTGCCAACCATAGTATGAAGGAAAAAGAGCTTGGCCAGTGAGGGAGGGGGACATATTTGCTGGGCACTAGGTACATTTTGTATGCTCTGTGTATGCTATTTGGATAATCTTCATACAGGTATGATTATTCTCATTTTACAAATAGGAACACCGAGACTCTGGAAAACTAGTAACTTCCCCAAAGTTATACATTATCAAGTGACAGAGCCAAAATTTGAGTTCCTGTGTATTTGGCTCTAACATCACTCTGCCAGGGTGTTTCTCTTGTAGCTAATCTCAGGGAAAGCTGTGACATAGATAAGGATTGGTATTGACACCCCTGCCCCCACTTTCTTATCTAATTCCCTATCCTTTAATGTAATGCCTTGATTCCACTTAACAGAGCACATTAACACCACCACTACTATTACTACTAATAATAATGATTATCATTGTTACTATTATTATTAATAATAATATAACTTCAATGATAACATCCCAGCTAAGATTTTTTTTCAGCTCTTACAAGCCAGGCATCATGCCAAATATATTTCATAGATTATCTTATGTAATGGTGCTATTAATATCTTTATTTGTAGATGAGGCAACTGAAGCTTGGAGAGGTTAAGTAATTTGCCCTTATGGTGTTCCTGGCTCACTATAGCCCCTGAACAGTGTGCCGCCCTGTTTAGACACTGATGCTATTTGATGCTTTTTCCAGTTATTCACTTTTCTTCCTACCTTCCCATCTACCTTATCAAAGCGTAACAAGTTAGATCCTTTCCCCCTACTAACATGTAGCTATCTAATTAATTG